AGCATTCATATGAATCCAGGAGAAAGTGAACCACCAGCCCTCAGGAAGACAGGAACAATGCCACCTCTGTGGACTGGGCCTGCTTTCACTTCCCCTCGTCTCTTTTTTTTCCTTTTTCTTTTTCTTTTCTTTGCCCCAAGTGGCCTCCATTAAATCTTGCTAAACTTGGAATGCACATAGACCTATAATGGCCATCATAGAAGTGACTACACATGCTTTTTCAGATTCAAATACATGTACTCAAGAAAAAAATGACTTAAAGTTTGTGATTTTCTTACTGCAAATTTCTCAAGGGGAGACTTGAGTGGGCCAGTTTACACTTTTGGACTGGATTGTAAATCTGATACTGCTGGCTGGCCTATAGGTTGGTTGCTCTTGAGCTGACTGTCCTCCCGAGTTTAACTGGTTATAGCCATTGAAGTAAGAACCACATGGCCTAAAATGTAGCTGCTTAAGCATGAGTGCAATGCCTAGAACAAGTAGTATTCACAATGCTCCCCAAAAACAAAAACAAAAAAAGCAAAAGAAAGGGTGCTGTAGTGATTACGGCAAGCCAAGAGAGGAGGTGAAAGGGTAACAGGGAAGAGGGCTCATAGTGACAACTGGGAGAGTCTGGATTATGCTGTAAAGTGCAGACAAAGCAAAGATTTGACAGTAGATGAGCCCCAAAGAGAATAGACCCATGAGTTAAGAGACTGGCATCACAAGCACACAAGGTCAGGCATCTCAGGGAACGAAGTTTTTAGACTTAGGATATGCAGCAAAACATTCTATTAAGAGCTTTTGTGTGCCAGTAGGGTGTTCCATAAGGATGACAGGCAGGCCACTACTAGTGATATTCAGAGTTTAATATATTTCAATTTTCACGACTGTAAGTTCCCTAAGGACAGGCTTTATTCCAGTCATGTTCCCATGCCCACAAAGGCATACAACTGATGCCAAGCAGGAAATCCTTGGTTTCTGTGAGCATTAGGGCTGGAGCCCTAGATTATTTACATGCTTTTGGAACACAATGGCATTATCTCTTTTCCACTATAAGATGAAATGTGTCTACTTCTTCACAGGCCCAAGAGAAGGTCATACAAGACTTTGGGGACAAAATCAACAGTCACAGGAGAATTATTCTGATATTCTTTCTGCCATTTGGAAAGAACAAACATTCTTTCAAAAGGAATAGCATGGTTCTCTCACGTTGAAGTCACACCCCAGAGAGCAGTCTTCCCAAATCTCACCCAGCAGCAGCCAGCATGTGTAGCTGCTTGGGACTGTGGGGGGCGGGTAAAGAGAATAATATGTGTAGAATACCTGGCACAGTGCTGGGCACTGAGGACACTCGCACGAATGTCAGATTCTGTCTCATCAACTCAAAGACCACACACTACTAGGACGTGATGCGGTCACTGTAATGGATATATTTTTTTGCTGCTTCTTTTCACATACTAGAGGAAGAACTTATGCACATATTCAAACAACAGTAGATATCATATGACTTACAAATGAGGCATTTACTGTGTCTCCTGATTCCAAGTAATTATGATCTAGCTAGGGAGCCTACAGTACCACAAATGGAGAAACTGGCAAGACAACGGACACCACTGTGCTAAACAGAGATCTTCTCTAACCTATCTGATGCTTTTTCAATGATTAGATGAAGATACATATGTTCTATGGAACTTTAGGACTGGCACAAAATTAAAGAAAAATAAACTAAATTAGGGACCAACTCACAATCAAAAGATCTTAACTGAGTGGGCTAAAATTTACTAGAATACAGTTTAGATTTAGAACAAAAAAGTCCAGATAAAATTAATAAGTTATAGCTTCTCCGAAGCCAAAGTGATCAAAATAGGGATTAAAAGCTCAGTGAGAGGCAGTGTAATAAGGAGTCAAAACAATAACTACAATAAAATTGATAATAACTAAGTGCTATCTTTATGAAGCAACTTAGTGAAGACATGCACTTTAAATCCTCATCACAGTCCTACAAGGTAAGTATTCGTCTTGTTATTTAATTGAGGCTCTGTTATAATAAATAATTTTGACCATGGTCATGTAGCTAAGACATGAAAATCAGAAGTTTAAGCAGGATCTGATTTATTTTTCTATTATATGATGCTTTTGTTTGCTTCATACAGACAAGTCTACTATGAGAAGAAACACGGTAAGTGCCCTGAGAGAACAAACGTATGGAGATACGGAGTTAACTCCTGAGTTTTTGTGCTATCCAGGAGTGTCAGGAACTACAAATACCAAGTAGGAAAAGGTGACATGAGGAAGGCTAAGCCCAAGGACCATTTCTACTGAGCTCTTACTGCTACTGGAAGGACATGGGTAGGTGTGGTGCCAGGGAATGCTGACTTTCACACTACTTCCCACTGGTACTACAGTGTGTGAACATGTTACAAAGCACAACACAGCTCTCATCCAGAGCAAATCCACTCTCTTATTTATATCACATGGGGACATTATCTAAGCCCCAAGAAAATGGCAAGCCACCTTTTACTTTTAAATATTAAAAGCTATGATAAGTAACTGTTATTTGTCTAAGCAGAAAAAAGAGTTAACTTGTGTCATCTATTCATTTGTACTCATTTACTGTAATCAAATTTGGAGGCAGAATAACATGAGTCTTTCCAAAAGAAGATACACTGTGAAGTAAAAATTCCTTTGTTCTAGGATGAGCTTTCTTGGCCTGGCAAACAATTTTGCTGGAGCATATTAAGAAGGTTGGCTTTAGATACTGCATCCTAAGTCTTTCAAAGACAACAGGAAAAGATTAAGAAGCGTATGGGCTTTCTCTGCTTCTGGTAAAAGCAAAACAATCCATGAAGGATTTGGAAAGATTTTAAAAATTTAAGTTTTCAGAAGCAGTACAATTCCTAATTTCATGTTTTAAAAAACGCTAGGAGCATATGTTTATTCAAAGGAAGTAGTCTTGCAGGAATCACAAAACAAAGCAGCAACTCTAACTCCTGAGGCACTGTGTGACGTGCCAACAGAGTCAGGCAGAGTGGTGAGAAGGACAGGGAGCTGGTTTATCCATTCACACAGTGCTCAGAGCTGCATCCGGCTTGCGTCATGAGACTTACAATGTCAACACTAAGGCATTGGCTTATTCTTCTTAAAGCCTCTGCTGTTTATTACTGAGGAAAATGAAATGATTTGGTGTAGTCTAACCAGTTTTCTTGGTGAGAGCCTGAAATGCCTCAAGAGGCAAGAAGGAGCGTGATATAAGCTGGCCAAGGTTCATGGGGCTGGAGGGCGAGCTTTCAGTAGGTTGAGAGCAATGGGAGAACCCAGGAACTATGGGTAGCCCAAGGACACAAAAGGGTTTTATGCAAAGACAGTTGGGAGGAAAATGAAAGAGTTTTAAATTAATCTTCTGACTCATGGCCACCAGCATGCTCTGATTCTACTCCTACATCTCCAGTAGTTCTAGAATTCCTCGTGCCTTTTTCTGCTGAATCTGAAGCTTTCTGCCTGCAGATACTATGGCTTGAAGGATACCTATCCCTTCCTTCATTCATATCAACTTTGTCAAAGGAGCAAAGGAACTCAAATTAACATTGTTGTTAAAGGGTGCTTGGAAATACAGATGTTCCTCATTTAATGACCTGTCTGTTTAACAACTCTTCAGACTCATGACTTGTCTTTTTTTTTGTACAATTCTGTACATCTTATTGATAGAGCCTTAATGACTTTTTTGTTATAGTACAACCTGTTTATAGCACTGGTTTTTGCTGATTGTACTGCACATGATACTGTAGTTTTATGTTCTCTTATACATTACACTAGTACATGTAAGAGTTATGCAAATAAAAGCAAAGTCATCAAGTTGGAATTTCCTTTGACATTTTTTTGTTCTGAATATTGTACTGTACATACTATGTACAATTTCTCATTTAGTGACTTTAGTTAATGGCCTAGTCACAGGAACAGAACTTGGTCATCAAACCAGGAATGTCTGTATCTCTTGTTAAATAGACTACACTGTCTTGAGTCATGCAAGAATACTACTTAAAAACTCTTATCTAACATTTCCAAAACACTACAAAGAACTGTCACATGATTATTCCACTGATCTCCTTAACATCATTGTGAAGTGTGTACGATAATCCTCATTTTTCCAAATGAGAAAAGAGAATGAAAGGAAAGCATTTGCCCAAATTCTTCTTGCTAATAACAAACTAAGGTCAAATTGATACCCAGGTTTGTAAGACTCCAAATTAAGTGCTATTTCTATTTCACCATAATGTCTCTGAGGAAAAAAAGATAAATGCTTGGATTTTTTTCTCTGTTGTATCTTGTGGACAAATGCACATTCCCTTTATTGTGCTAAATAGTAAAAAGGTTTCTCAGTGGTATAAATTAACTTTTATCAAAACTTCTCATTTCCATTCTCAACATAGTAGTCTCCATAAAGTGCCCAGAAATCGTACATGTTCTACCTTGGAAAACAGTTACTTCTGAAATAACACTCTCTGCTATTATATCCCAGGAGACAGGGTCTGAAAGGTGACCCAAGAAGACAAAAAAGCAGAGATACGATCTAACTGCATAGGATCCTTATGACAAAGAGCGTTTTACAGTTAGTGACCAAAGTGCAATTCAGTTACCGGCAATTTGGCTGGGACTCCAGACTATGGCAGTCTTCGCCTCAAAATGCTCTTCCTGTGTGGGGCCTTTGCTAATGTGTTCAACTTCTTATAAGTCAACAGCCAACGTTTTTCTTTACTACTATTCATTTCTCTTCAATTTCTGGAAGCAGAACTACCCAGGTGTTCATCGATTTTTCTTGATTTAAAATTAGCACAGGTCAGACACAGGAGATTTCCTAATAAGGCATTTTAGGATCAATTTTCTCCCTAATGTGAAGTGCAAACTTTTGTTATTCAACCTGAATATGCCTAGTTTTCTTGTGGTCCCCATACGGAAGCTATATAGGGCAGGAATGACTCACAAATGAAACGTGAAAGACAGATTAAACAAACTATACTTACTTAGGAGGAATTCGTGAAACTGTGTTCACGTTGGTAGCTGGAACTACTACTTGCAAGATGTGTTCAAGGGCTGTTAATCCACCAGCAACTTGAAATGCAATCTGATCTGCCACATTCTAGACAGAAATGTAAACAGAAGTTAGCCAAATTTCCCAGGCAAAAAAATTATAACCAAATGAAATATTTAGTTTTACTATGAAACATTCAGTTGGTTTAGTTACCCTACAAATACCTGCTGAATGCTTACTTAGTGCAAGGAAATGCAGGTTAGCTGAGATGAATACAAAAGACATGTCACTGTCCTTTACTCAGCTTAAAATTCAGCGAACAGGGCCAATGTTCAGTAATGTGACTTTAAGTTCTTCAGGAGAATAATGGGGGAACCAATTATACTTTGGAGAAAAGGTCAGGAAAGCCTTCTCTGGGTAAGTTAAGATTTTTAACAGAGGAAAAACAAAAAAAAAGCAGAGGGAAAAGTCATTTTATACATAAATTTTTACCAAAAAAACCCACATAATATTAATTTCCACCTTACAAAATAAACTGAATTCCAGAAACATTCTACTAGAAAGATTTTATCTAGTTATATATGACAATCTAACCACTACATTTTTTCTTTGCATTTCAGCTATTTTTGGGAGAATATTAAATATTTTAGAAGTCAGTCTTTTATTATTTCTATATAATTTCTAAATTGTGTACAATTCGATGGGAAGGAACTATATAGGCAGAATAACTACATCATGTATAATGCAGAGTTTTACAGTTCACAGAGATTGGGCATTGCTTTGAAACACTAAGGGCTTTATTTTAAGTTTTTTGTTTTTTGTTTTGTTTTTTAGGTGGATAGAGAGGGATGGACATAATGTGAGGTCCTATCAAACATATGTGCCTGATTCTCTAATATTATGAGCTCATAACCTGTCAATCAATGGCCCCAGCGCATGTGTGGCATCTGTAGCATAACCAGGTGTGTGTCATCTAACTGCTCCTCTTCTGAGCACAGTAATAAATGCACATAACTAGACGCTTTTTAAAAATCAATAACTTCATTATTAATGGGAAAATGTCTATTTGCAATACAACTAACAACCAGAAAATTACAAGACCTAGGTGGCTTTGTAATTTATTTAAAAAATGTAATGCTGTTACTATTCTTTTTTCTTATGTTAGAATATCAGTATGCTTAGAAAATAATAGCCTTGTATTATCATATAATATGCACAGAGAAAACTGCACTGTACGTAATCCTACAGCTGAGTGAGTTATATAGCCAACTGAACACTGGAACAACTCCAAAATTAAAAAATAAAGCTCTGTGACTTGCCATAGCTGCCTAGCAGCAATCCCATTCATTATTTCTCCCTCTTCTCTGAATGTAAGCTCATCTTGACTTTTAAAACCATGAATTAATTCTGCTTTTTTCATATCTATATGAATCATACTTTATATATCACATCTACCTTTACTTGCTCATTTCTTATAAATTCATCTATGTTGCTGCCTATTACCACTTCACTCACTTTTCTTGCTGTGTAGTATTCCTTTTGCACAACTGAAACAACCACTGTTTGAACTCTAGTTTGGTTGGTTTTTGGGGGGGGTACCGGGGACCAAACTCAGGTCCTTGAGCATACGAGGCAGGTGGCAGAACCACTCAGCCAAATCCCCAGCCCTGAACTCTAGTTTGAGGTATTATGGAATTTCACGTAGACACTGTCACACAGTACATTTGAATATCTTCTGGATTCAATTTGGTAGTAAACAGTTATTGCTGGCAGTTACCAGTGCCAGGCACTAGGTACCATGGAAGCAACTGAAGTCTAGGCAAAATGACAGGGATTCTGCATCAAAACGAGGTACTAAATACCTAACACATCTTTCATCTCATCAAATAGGAATAAGAGATAAAATATGTAAGAATATTAAAAATGTGTAACTATAAAACATCTCTTTGAAACATGAATGGAGAAGCCACAGTAATGCACAGGGCAAGGACCCAACTTCTAGCAAACTCCAAAGCACATTTGCCCTTTAGACGCTTCCTTCTTCCCAGCTTCCACACTGCTCTGGCTCTATGGTCCTGTGCAGGAGCCAGGTTTTCCATCCTAGTTGCTTTAACCCTTGGTTCCTGCCTCCACCCATGCTGGCTGCTTCCACATCAGCTCATCAGCTTGGGTTCTCAGTCTCTTACTCAAGGTATCACAGCAACCTCCTAATTAGCTTCTCAAGTTCCAGGCTCACCCCAACTTGTTTACTCTACTGCAGTTTCCCAAACTCTCTAAAATAAAAACTAGTGTTTAGTTTTAAAAGTTTTTTATTTCATTATACAGCAATGCTTTTGTGAAATATAATGCAAAAGAAATACTGGACAAATGAGGGAAAGAAAGATGCATTATATAGCAGCTCAGATTTTAAAATATTTGATACAAGGCAGAAAGTTATTCTGTCAATGTGCTAGAATCTACACTTGATTCATGTGTTTATCTCGTCCTGTCCAGGAACCCTTTCTTGACACTGGCCAAGGGACTCTATTTATGTAGCCTTGCTTGCAGATACAATGAGGAAACAATCTCAAGAGTAAATGCGATCCTCACTCTTTCTGCTCACCACATTCAACTCTTCCTTTCTGTCCATATGATGAGGCTCAAGTACCCTTGAATAATCCTTCAGAATTTATTCCTCTCCAACAGGCTTCTTCCCTGCAAAGATCACATTCCTCCTATGACTATGTTCTTCATGGCCACTGTATTCTTGTCCACACTGTCCTGTTATGATTCTCCAGCTTTTCCTTTCTGTTTCCCCACTGCACTCTGAGCTTGTGGAAGGCAGACTATGGCAAGGGTCTGTGTGGAGTATAAATGCCCATTCAATAGTTGCTGAGTGACATCTTAAGAAGAGAAATGAACAAAGATACTTTCACATGATTTTAACTGTGGGGACACAGTCAATAATGCATCAGGTATGATCCCAGAATAAAATCCTCCATTCTTTGCCTGATGAAACTGAGAGCTTCATGATCAAAGAATGGTATTGTTTTTCAAGGACAACTTCCTCCTAACAAAATGAAGGAAGGAGTGCAACTCTCCTCTCCTACTTCACTGCAGTATGAAGTCTTTACATATTGGCATCTCTGAACTGGTAACCAAGGTGTATCCCTCCAGCCGAGCAAACATGACCACTGACCAATGTGTCCACAGGGAGCAGTTGCACCCTACTATTCCCACAGACATTGTCACAATGGGAGCACACTGGGTTCACACTGTAGAAGTGGAAGGGAGAAAACTGAGTAAAAGCAGATCATTTTAGTGTATATATCTATGCCTTAAAAACGCCCCAACTTAAAGCCTTTTATGCAGTGCCAACAGAATGGATATGACCTCTTGAAAGACTTACGACATAGGCTTTAACAGACATTGAACAGGACAAAAGTTACCCAATTTCAGGAAGATAAAGGACATTTAAAGCCAGTTTTTTACTAATGCACTATTAAAGCTTTAATCTATAATTTGCAGCTTTTCAAGGAAATACAGCAAAGTGCAAAACCACCTGTGAAATAAAAAAAAAAAAAAACGAAACAAACCACAATCTCTCCCCTTTCCCCCACTGAGTGAAGGAGGTTCTGGCTATATGTCCTTCTGAACTGGAGATGCAACAAGATACCTCTGGACTCTTCCACAGAGCACAGCTTGGTGTCCTCCCACCTTCTCCTCTGTGTCTCTGGCAACCCTATCCATCCTACCAGCTCTGTTTCTCCTCATGGCCCAGCTTCTCTTGTCCAAAAACTCCTTAAGAGCACCATGACTCATCTGGGCCCTGGTCCTGGCACAGAACAATGCCTGATGTGAGAGACATATCAAAAGAAGGGAAAATGAAATTATTTCTCTGAGTGCAAAACGTTCCTGTGAGATATGACAGATTAACACAATATAAAGGCCTGTAAGCATAATGAAGAACAATACCTGCTGCATCCTGTTCCTCAACACAGGACAGATGAACAACTCTGCTGCCTCTCTCTAAACTGAATGTAGATGAAACAGTCCTGTAATGTTTGAGGAGATTCTTCACCTCACAGAGTCAGAAAGGGGAAATCAAGTTGGTTCCACAATGAGCTACTTAATGTTAAAAGCAAGACAGAAACATTACAAAGCAACTTCTCAAGCATGTGCTATTGGATACTTTATATGAAAAAAAAAAATAAAAGAAATTCCTTGTGCAGAACAACCAAGCTGACTTAAGGATGTGGAAAGCCTCCAGTCATGTATTGTTTCCTAGTCATTTTCTTGTGCCTGTCACTTGGTACCTATCGGACATTGCTCTCCCTCCATTTCTGGACATCTGATGCCACAGTGGGACTCAATGCTCCCCAAACATCCTGCTTACACTCTTCCTCTCTTCTCAATATCCAGAAAAATAAATACACTAAAAATGCTTAACCATACCAGGGATAATCAAAATACTGTATATGGCAAATGTTTACATTTTAAAAAATGTATTATAGTAAAAGATATACTGCCATTAACCTGCCTCACAACACTCCTCTTTGCTTTAAATACACTTATCCTATTGTTCTTGTCACTTTCTGAAGCAGTTCTGGAAGTCCTCTTTATCATGAGGTGTGATCAAAACTATGTTGAGAGACCCAGGAAGGCCCCAAAGACCCCGGAGGGGGTTTCTTCAGCTGCCTGCCTGCCTGCCTGCAATGGCAAATGTACATTTTAAAAAATGTATTATAGTAAAAGATATACTGCCATTAACCTGCCTCACAACACTCCTCTTTGCTTTAAATACACTTATCCTATTGTTCTTGTCACTTTCTGAAGCAGTTCTGGAAGTCCTCTTTTTCTCGAGA